ACAAATTAAGTCTCACATACAATTATTAGATTTTAAAGATTCCGCTCAAATCTAAAAAAAAAAAAAAAATTGAATTTTAAAATCTTAAAAATTAAAAGTGGACCACCCTCTTTAATAATTTTTTATTCCCTCCTAACACTTTCTCTCAACCTCACCAGTTGTCCAGAAAAACCCCCAACTGTTTACAAGATATTTGGTCACTTTTGACTTCTTTTTTTTTAACTGAAAATCTAAATTTATTATCAATATAATTCAATAATATGATTAATGTATATCAAATTTAATTCACTATTCATCAACTCGCATAATTTTAACTAGGGTTGGTAATTTTTTACCGAAAACCAAACCGATGGAAAAATAAACTGAACTGAACCGATTCATGTGTAACGGTAACCAACTCGCCTTCACGGCTTCACTGGTCCCCTTCGACGTAAGCCCGTCGTGCCCCAAGGACAAATGTAATGTAACTGATATTGTGATTTGTGATTGGCATTCACATTTGTGTTGTGATTTGGATATGGTGTATTGTGTTGTGATTGCATTTGGAAGTTGGATGATTAAATATGGTGTGTTGTGTTGTGACTTTGAGTTTAAGCTTGTTATGTTGTTGCTTAAGAATTTTGTTGCTATTGTAAATATTAATTTGTGGACATTACCTAGATATAAGATTTGTAGGTATGGGCCAGGAGCTTATTAGGTCTTTACTCATGTACATTGTATTCCCTTATATATAGGGCTCAAGTGAATGAATAAGATGACTTTACGGTGTATCTCTTCTCTCTCTTTCTCTTCTACTACTTTCTCTCTTTGTCTATCTTGTCTATCTTACATATTGACAATCTAGATTATAACACGTTATCAGCACGAGTACTCTACCATCTAAGCGAATGGCAGCGGCATCAAGAAGAACGGACAATCAAGGTAACAAGCAAGATGTATGCCCTAGAAAATAATCGTGTCCTTTCTGTCAATTTAACATTCAAGATCCGTGATTTAAGATCCGTGATTTATGCTTACATGTGGTATCATAACATGCCTTGTGAATAAATAATTTTTGTTATTCGTATCCATTATTATGCGTAAATCCCTTGGCGTAATTGACAATTTGCTGTATCCATCAAAATTGAATCGTAATTATACATGTCTGCCTGAAGTTTTCTATGTCCTCGTTTTGTGTGAAAATGTGAATGTTTTTGTTGGATTAATTAAATGATGATAAAGTTTGTTCATGGACTGTTGCCATAAGAATTATATTCAATGTAATGGGTTGATAATTATAAATCTGGTTGTTTTGGATTTACGTTGAACCTTTTATTTGCCTCGATTACTGCTTCTATTATCGAATGGCTTTTAGTTTGAGTGGTAAATAATTTGGTTTGGTGCATATATTCATTAGTTATTGTATCGAGCAACAAAACTTGAGCATGAATTATTTGCTTGGTGTGATATCTGTACATGCTAAATAAATTCATTATATGAATCAATCAGGCATAATTAAGCTTTTGGGATTGCTGAAACTTGAACTTTGGTAATTAGTTTGATTTGATTAGATTCAAGCATGAATGTGATTATTTGCATGCTGAATTTGTTTTTTGTGAATTAAAGGTTAAACTTTTAAATATATTTTTCGGTCTTAGAATTTTAAATTTTAGATTTGAATATTGGTATAAAATTTTATTTATTTTAAGATAAAATATTTCATTGGCATGATTTTCGCATAAGGATTCAAATATGAATAATATGGATTATTTCAATATATATGGACTTGAATTTTTTTTTACTTGATATGGATGAGATGCATATATGTCAGTGAAATCTGGTCATTATTGAACTATTATACGTTCGTTTAAAAGTTATGGACTGAAGGATGGATTAAATAATCTGCAAGATTATAGTTTCACTGACATGATTTGAAAAGTTTGAAAAGTATTTCTGTCTCATGTTTTTAGTGCTATAAAAATTCATGTGATATTATAAGTATGTCTATTGTATATGAGAGGAAGATTATATACAAAAAATGGTGGAAATATTGGATATATATTATTGATGCTACGTAGCTCAATTTATGATCATCTTTTTATAATATGGTTGGATGAGAAGATAGAATTGTACAATTATGAAAATGATGAAGTATTCTTTAACAAATATCTATCTATCCAAATGTATTAAGGTTCAATTGAATACTAATAGTCCCAGAAGGACACTAATATAAACATTGATGGATAAAATGATTAAAATAATGCATCGGTTGTCTATAACATGCCAATAGTTGACGATGAAGTTTTTAGACACTCCCTGAAGGATCTTCTATAAGTCAACAATTATGTTTTTATATACTCCCTGAAGGATCAACACTAACTTAATTGTCTCCCATAAATTCATAGTGAAGTTTTGGTATACTCCCTGAAGGATTAACACCAATACAAGTATCAAAGTATTACAATATGAGTAAGTATTAATGACTAATTTTGAATTAAGATGCTATCGAATTTTTTTATAATGTGTTATGAACATTTTGTATTCCCGAAGTAATACATGAGATTGAGAATAATGAAATCCAACCAAATGAATGCTCATAAACACAATAAATTAAGAGTAGTGATGTAAAAGTAGTTCATTGAGATTGTATTAGTGCCAGAAGCACATATACAAAACTATAATTTGTCATATGATAGAAAATTATCTTTTCTATAAGACTATATGTTTCCTTGATTTAACTGTCATTATTTGAATATGAGCATCTCTTGTTTGATATTTATCCTATTATCCTTCACGTTACTTGTTAAGATTTGAAAGTAGTAACACACGTAAGATATGTCTAGCAGACATTATCCTCAAGATAAGGATTATTTTTTATGATGAATGAGGAAAAATATTATATAACTTATGTAATCATATCTCGCAAACTTCACCT